TCGAACCACATTATACAAAGGAATGCCTATGATTACATTTATAATAAACATGATTGTAAAAAAAATATATATATATTACTGTATATAAGAAATTCTGGCACTGATAAATATCTTACCACGATCTCTACTTCTTATAATATCAAAAGCTGTTAGATCATAAAGATTATTGTCAAAATTAACAAGTTTTTTAGTTGAATCTGACAAAAAAATATCAACTTCTTCTTGGCGTTGAAGAATCATAGACCAAAGGACTCTTTCTAAACCGAGTTGTTCCACAAGCGTCAGGTTTTTAATATCGTTTAAAGCTAAATCATAAAGAGTATCTCCGTATTCATCTTGAATTTGGTAAAAATCGCTATAAAATTTAGGAAATCTTATTAAACATTTTTCAATTAAAATATATATATATATATGTAAAATAAATAATGTCAACCTTAATTCACTATGGCCGTATCGAAATGTAACAGTTGAAAAAAATGTATCAATTCCTGTTAATGCACATTTAAATTTAAAAGTTAGAAAATATGGTATCAGAATGACAAGATTCTATCACAGCATTTCTAACCTGGTATAAGATTTGGATTATAGTTTTGATAGGCTGGTAAAGGACGACCAAGAATAGCACCAATATATTCTTCAGCAATAGCTTTTTGGTAGAAAGCAGTAGTCCAACGTCTCTGAAATAAATTATTTGATCATCAATAGACGAATTTATTAACAAAAAAAGTAAAAGAAAAAAAAGGTGGATATCATTGATGACTCACAGCTTCCTGAAAATATTGTTCATCAGTCCAGGAATTACCGTGTTTTTGATACAATTCATCACATAGTCGATTATGTTCGCGTATCCAGATCGTCTGGATAGCAAAGGTAAATATAGTATATGCGCGTTCAAAAGTACCCCAAACATATGAACCATCCGAAGAATTTTTTGGTGGAAATTCTTGGCCATTGACAATATGCGTCTTCAACTTTCCTCTATTTTTAGATGTGTCTCTAAGCCTTTCCATCGCGTCCTGATCACTAATTCCGTAAATAGTATTTAGGTCAAGAAAAGGAGTTACAAGATTTATTCCACTAAGAAGAGGATTTTGCGTTGCTGGATTAGTGTCATTATTTCCCTCAGATCGATTAACCGGTAAAAAATGTACATTAAGCTGGTGAGGAGATGTAATATTTGGATTTGGATTGTAATTCGGATCATCTGCCGGTAAGAACATTGGGTATGTTGGATTCGTGTTTTTTGAAGATGTAATATCAAACGAAATGTATTGAGCAAAAAAAGTAGCCTATAATATTTTATATAATACAATAAAGATATTAAATTCAACGAAGCACAAGCACAATGATCATAAATTCATATATAACTTACGAAATGGCTAGTCCGTCTGTATGAACGATAACTTGTCAACGCATTAATATCGTAAGGTGGAGTATTATAACTACATATAACGTTTGATATGCATCTTGGCATAGGATACTGCCCAGAAGGTACACGATCAGTACATTTAATGGTTGTCGGATTGTGCGGATTTAAACCAAGAGAGTCAGTGGGAGACGAAAAAGGAGTACCATTTTTACTATATTGTGAATTATGAATTATTAGTGAATAAACTTTAATTAAATAAATGCTGCCAAGGAAAAATGTGGCTCGAGATTTCAAGTTTATTATCATTATATGATAGAGATAGTAATTAATTTCTAAATCAATACTATGCATGCATGTTG